TAAATGGAACCTGCTGATGTTTTCATCTTGTAAGCAAAGGGGATGTTCATCAGCACTTGTGTTATTTCACTGTACACTTTTCACACTGCAGAAATTTCAAAGCATTTGCTGCTGTAAAACTGGCCCAGTTTTTGAAGAAGAACTCTAGCATTAGTTGATTTTGCTGGTAGAGGTGTAAATGGAGTGCAAAGTAAATTTCATGTGATTTTTCTCATTTTTCTGGGTATCTTTTTGGTGAAACTAGCTTGCAACAAGTTTAAATGATAAATGAGTGTTCTAATTTCTCTCTGCCTTGCAAGAAAAATTTAACAATATACAATATTGTTATTGTAACAATATCCAATATAACAATAGTTGTACAGTTTAAATGTGTGAAGCAAAGTAATATGATGCATTTTAGCAAGTGCTTTAGATTTCTAGAATAATTTTTCATTGTATCTTCAGGTATTCAGTTTCCCCTTATCTTAAACAGAAGCTTCCATGTGCATGGTGTTGTTCACAGTAAATATACCAAATCTCTTCACTAGCTTTGCATCTGAGGAAAAAACCAATATATTAGCATGTAAAATGCTTTGAACATTGGAGGAGTACAGTATAAGAAGCAGACAACTTTCAGATATGCTTTAGTCGGTGCTCCCTTTGTGCATAGCAGAATTTTAGTCCCCTGGGGAAAGATTTACTAAGCATCAAACCAAATTCTTGCATTTTCTGATAGAAGTCACATTTCTGAGTTTAACAGAGAGCTAACTTTGAATTGGAAAAATAGTTAAAAGCTGCAAATTAGCTGAAAATTTTCAGCTAATTAAAAGCTGAAAATGACAATGTCAGGAATGTTAGTTATTCTGAGCAAAATAGTCAGAAACCTGAGGGAGAGGAAATAAAGACAGCTGAAACAATGAAGAATTATGTGAATTAAGAAATTGAATGCTGTTGGGGATGGCAGGCGAATTTAGAGAAACAATTCAGAACAAGAACTCTTAATCATGTTTTTTCAAGCTAAATATATGAGTGATAGTTGTGGAGAAAGGTAAGACTGAAGACATTTGGAGTTGAGTTAGTGCAGTGACATTGCAGCTATCCCATCCCTTATAAGATTTTTTTATTTCTTACACTTTTTAAAAATGCGTTTAACTCCTATTTTAGAGCTATGCACTTATTGAAGGACTATATGATGTGGTATGGATGGTGTAAGCCAAAAAAGCCAGGCATTGTAGAACTCAGGCTCCTTGTTTCTGGCTCTGAAACAGCACAGACTACACATGAAGTCTCTATAATCATCCTTTGTGCTCAGAAATGTTTGGATATTGAGTAGGGAGGCTGAAGAGCGTGTGGCAGCAGCTCTCAAGGGCTCACTCAGCAGGTGTCACAAGTCAGCTGCTGCAAATAATGAAGTGTGTGCTCACCCACAGCTAAACAGAAATTGAGACTGATTGAACAGATTCTACCATGTGAGGTAAAAATACTTTGCTTAAACCTCAGTGAGGAGCAGCTGATATTTCATAATTCCTTAAACTAGAATAAGACCCATGTATAATATATTTTTCAATGAACCAAGGCTTTAGGAGAAGTTTAAAATGTCCCAAGGATCAATTTAACTTTTTACTAAACATGCACATGAGTAGTGTTCTCATATAAGATTATGGTAGATTAAATTTCAAACTGATTCTTGGATGCCTTTGTCATTTAGCTGATGTAATGGCTGCTTGATTTCCTTTTTTAGTTGTTTGCTACTTCAAAGCACTTTATTGCTCTGTTCTAAAAATTCCATTAATTTATCTATTGCTGCCTTTTATAGTCTCAAAAGAATGTCAGCCTTGCTGTGAGAAATGCAAGTACTGCAGGGAGGTGATGAAGCAGTAACTGCTCTCCTCAAGACTCAGGGGCATGTTCAGTCCTTTCTCAGGATTGTTTTTGGAGGTGCTCAAGGCAGAGCAGCCTGTGGAAACAAATGTGGCTCAGTTTCAAGTGTAAACAGAGGCCAGAGCTGATTGCTGCTGGTTGTAGCGCTCATCCAAATGAGGTTTAGCAGAGGAATGTGCTGGTGGAAGACTGGGAACTGCAGCTTGTGATTTATTAATGTGTTTTCCCCTCTTTTTTTCATGAAGTAGAAAGAAAATAGCCTTTGCATCTTGAATTTACTATTCAAGCCTAATTTATTGAATATACTGACTCTAATACCAGAAATCAATCATCTTAGTGTAGATACTACCCGAAACTCAGGGCATTGTTCTTGTAGTGCCTTCTTTTTATCCATTGCTTTCTTCTGGATAACAAGGCCAACAAAATACTTACTCTCTATTACATCAGCTGTTTAAGATAACCTTGATAAAAGTTAGCTTTCAGCAAGTTTACCATGTGATCATTGAGCATTGTGACTTTCTTCATTGACTCTGGCAGCTGAAATACTTTTCACTGGCCCTTGCCTGGTTTTTGAAAGCTGAAGAAAACTAATTACCAAACTAGAAGTTTGTTCCCTTATTGTTGGTATTTCAACAGCAGTTGGAAAGTTCATTAAGCAATGCTCGTTATTTTTGTACTGCAGGGACTGCTGTGTAGTTAATTCTGTCATTAAAGAATTTAAATTAAATTTTGTGCATACTCAGCATAACCTTGTGTTACACACTCATGTTTACTTTGAATTTGACTAATTTTTTTAAACATTTCAATGCAGGCTCTATTATATGTGTTAGTAGTCTCTAGGAAGAGAGCTCCCAGAATCACAGAATGCTTTGGGTTGGAAGGGACATTAAAGTTCTAGTCCCAGCTCCCTGCTGTGGGCAGGGACATCTCCCACTAGACCATGTAACACAGACCCCAATCCAGGCTGGCCTTAAGTATCAGGGATGGGGAGTCCCCAGTGTCTCTGGGCAACCTCTTTCAGTGCCTCATTGCCCTGATAGTAAAACATTCCTTCCTAATATCTAATCTAAACCTACCCTCATTCAGCTTCATTGAAAACAAAAAAAAAAACTTGAAGTAATTTAAAAGCTGAATTAAAGGCTGCCTTGTAAAAGTGTAAAAGCAATCATTCAGCTTCCATCTATTTCTTTTTGCTAGGCCATTGTAGTCTCTTTAGATGAGACATCCCAGCCATTTCAAGTAATCCCTGTATTTACAGAGATGAAATCGTGTAAGCTATTGTGAATCTGTAGCAAAAACTGTTCTTCATAATTGATAATGAAAATATTCTTCCCCTTTCCAAATACTAAAAGGGCCTCCTTTGTGCAGAAGCTAATAGCAATGTATTTTGTTTCTGTTCACATGTTGTGTTTTGTCCACTTGGGCATCAGGAGGGATGTGTGTGTGCTTTTCTCTTCTGCTGTAAGTGTGAAAAATGCTATCAGGTTTTCCTGATCTTGTATCTTAAGTTTCAGCACAGTAATTGGGCAATGGAATGTGAGCTGGTAGTGATTGAGCATGTAATCAAGCCGGGGAAAATATTTTTGCTTTCTTGGCAAGGTGAAGTACAAGGTGAATTTTGAAAAGGAAAAGAGAATAAGTGTGTGGACAGACTGTTCCTAAGCTATACTTTCTGTGATTCCATAACAAAAATCATCATTGTGCATATTTGTGTATTTGCAGGGCTCTGGTTTGTACATATTTGAAAGCCAAATTTATTCCTAAGCAAGACCTGTAGTGTTAAGCCCATGTCTTAACCAGGCAAAATACAGTTAAGGGAATAAAATCTACTTCACCTTGTGCATTTAAACCTCTGTTAATTAGCTAGTTATGGCTGGGAAGGTAAGATTGGGAAAGGGAAAGAGGAGCCAATCTTCTTTAAAGAGGGATTTAGTTTCTTTCTTTCTCTCTTACTTTCTGAAGAATTTCCCAGGGGCATTTGACTTTGCTTAAATGGATCATTGTGGAAGGACCAGCAATCTTAGATACAAACAGTGGGAACAGAAATTTCCTCTCCATTACTCAAGTTGCTGCACTTTAGGAAGAGAATGAGGTAGTTATAGCATGCTGGGCTGTGGAATTGAGGGTAAGTGTGGGGTGATACTTTGTTTCCTTGCACTGTATTTCTGTAGGTTACCACCTCCTTCATGCCTTTCACCTTAAAGCCTCTTTCCTAGCATGTCTTCCAGACACTGAGGTCATTGCATGGTATCTTAGACTGAGAATGAAATCTTAGAGATAATAAGTCTGAATGTTGATGCATTAAATTTTTGCACCCAAAAACCAAAATGTAAGATTCCTTTTTTTTTTTTTTTTTTTTTTGCTTTGTACAACAGTCAGTTTGAGTCTGTTTTGATCAAGATATGATCTAGGTCACCAGTCATTCATTTATACTTTTGTACTTTGCTGCAGGGTAGCATCCTGCCTCATTTTCCCTTTCAGAGAAATGGTGTGACTGCTGGAGTCTTCAGACACCAACATACAGTTCAGAGCAGTTGCTCACATGACCACTGCACAAAAGGGAATCCAAGGGCTCTTCATTGCTGGACTCATGCCTCATAGTCTGATTTAGGAGAAGTGTGGTTTCTGCAGGGGGATTAGGCTGTGCAGTTGCGAAGGAGTGGAAGCCAAAGTTTTGACTTATGGTATTAGGAATCTATTAAAATGAGTGAGTAGACTTGATGAGGATGGTAACGCACTGAATGGTTTTGTTGCTACAGTGAGTTTAATCCTTTTAGCCTTTTTACAGAAATTACAAAGCTTGACAGGGTTATTAGTGAAGTATTAATGAAATCCATCCAGCTATGCAGATGTCTGCAAAGTATAGCACACAAAACAGAGTTCATTTTTGAAGTTATCAGGAGGGTAGTGCTGTGAAAGAGAAGCTAAATGGGCAATGGCAAACAAAATTAAAGAGTGTAGCTTAGAGACAGACAAGCTCTCACTTCACTACATCTAGCAGATTTTTGACCATCACTTCCCATATGAGTAAGTCTGGCCTATCAAGTGGGATGATAAAAAGAGATGGATGCTAGATAGAGTCATTTTAATTACCTGGATTTGTTCCATTGAAATGTGGTTGCCAGGATATTGTTGCCTGAGTTATATAGAAGACATGCAGATGCTATATTCTTGCTTGTACAGAGGATGAAAACATTTTTGCAAAGTTTTCCCATTTGAACATTTCTCATGCAATTGCAAAATCCTGTTTAATAGTCATGTCTGAAGTGTTGCATTACCTCTGCTCCTCAACTTGAACGGAGAAGTTACTCTGGATGTGAAGAATCCATCTGATATGAAAGAAACAAGAGAGACCTCAGCAAGGTAAGAGATTGAATTTGAGACAGATATTTTAATTTAATTTCTGGTTTTATACTTGGATAAATTAACATTTTCAGATCAACTGAACATACTGCTCTACCAATCTCACTTTTATAGATTAATATAGGACTATGAAATGACTAAATTTTAAAGTAGGCTACTTCAGGCTGCTCACTCAGATGCCTTGCCTTGCAAGAGTACATATATACAAGGCCCCTGTTTGCCATATCAGTGACATATCAGTGCTAAAGCTGCACTAACTCAGCAAAGACAGCATAGACCTAATTAAGTTCTTGTAATGCCTGGACTGTCTTCAATATCTCACTAAAGATGGCTTAGCTCTATTTGTTATAGAGCATTAGGACTGCACAGGTTCAGAGGAGGACTTAAAAAAAATTGGGGAATGACTTTTGAGTTTATAGGGAAAGGAATAAAGTGGTTCCTGCAGCATAAACATGCAGTTATCCCAGAAAAAACTGCATATGGATTCAAAAGCTAATAGGCTTTAAAAGGAACCATTTTAATTCTTCAGTTTAATTTTTCCTTCCCTTTCTTACAATTGCATAAATAACTTGAATGTAGAACAGGTGTGGGTTTCTTTAATCATCTCTGAATGATTGGAAAGGGCATAAAATTACTCTTCAGGGCAGAAAGTAATTGGTTTAGAGGCTACATATTTGGGTCTGACTTCAGTGATTTTAGATTTCTTCCTGCCTTATAATTAATTCTCCCATTGCTGAAGGCATTTTGGGTTTTTTGGCTTTTTTCCCTCCCTTTCCCTAAATGCTTCACTATAACAAAATATTCCGAAATCCTGTTCATTAAATATTTTTACTTGTATGAACATACAATACTTCCTAATAACTTCAGGTCCTTTCCTGGGAACAATGTTTGCTTAACATTCCTCCTTTGCAGTCTTCATTCTACCATGGATTTGCAAACAACCCTTCCGCACTCTTTGTTCTTGTGGCTTGCAGGAGTTAAATTCTCCTAACAGTCAGAAGAATTGCTGTAAAGTTCTTGTGATTTGGCTAAGAAGTAATGTCTATTAACCTTGGTGACAGCAGGGGTGACAGCTCCCAGTTTCCTGTCTGATTACAATTAAGTTTTACTGAGGATTTTATCCACCCACTTTTAAGAAGTTGTTTAGCAAAAAAAAAAAAACCAAAACAAAATTTTAAAAAAAGTACTTGTTTTGTCATATCCTAATTAACTTACAAGAACAGTGTTCCTGAAAAATCTCAGAAGAACACAGCATATGGAATGCTGTGGATTATAGGTTGGTCTAGATAAACAGAGGGGCAGAACATGAAAACTATAAGTAAAATCTTACCATTTTTATTTCCCTGCAACTGGGTAGTGTCCTTGTCACCCATCATATAACTAAATTTACCCATAATAACATATGTTACCAATGTGTCCAAGCAAATGAAGGTGTACACAAAAGGCAAGGCAATTTTACAATACTGAGAAGGGGCACAAGGTGGTCTGTGGTAACCACCCCTGACACAGAAATGTATTTTGTCCATTAGGTTTCTGACTGAAGTGTCAAAAATCGGATAATAAAATGTCAGGTAACTGTTAAGTCACTCTTAGAAGGAAAACAATCCTAAGCTTTATTTGAGGAAATTCTGGAGCTTTTCAAATAGTGCTTCTATTTTATTGAATTCTCTTTCTTACGTGGCACTGATCTGGTAAGGGAATAATTGTTTTTTTCTAGTGCAACCATAGTTTGGTTTTAATTATGCTGAAATGTACATATTTTTTCCTTCTTGGCTGGAGAAATGAAATGGAATTCCCTGTATGTTTTAGCAAACAATAGATACTTGGCTGAGGTACCTCACAACTTAATGCTTATGAGGCTTTAAACATAGCTGTGCTCTCAAATTTTTTCATAAATATGATCACACTCTTCTTGCTCAGGCTTTTGTTGGGCTCCTGAGCCCACAGGGCTTGCATGCAGTCAGCTTCCAAGGATTTTGGTATGCACTGACATGCTTTCCTCCTTTGGCTCTGGCATTTTTCCTCTGCTGCTGCTTCACAGCAGTAGAAATCTAAATCCCAACTGTTTAGGAAACATCCTAAATGTCTGGGGGCTTGTCTTGTTTGAGGACAAGTAACTGACTAAGGGATTCCTCACATTACTCTGTAGATTCTTTGTCTTAAGGCTATGGTTCAAGTCTTCCAAAAATGATACACTAGAAGAAACTGTAGTTTTCAGAGAGTCTTAAAACAGCATGAAACTTTACTTAATGGCATGAAAAACACCCAGTTTCAAAAGAAACAAAACAAAATCTTCCTTTGTCTATATCTTGTCTTGCCTGCCTAAAACAGTCTGAATGAATGAATCTGTCATTTTTGTCTTCTAAACCATGATGTTCATCCAGCTTAGTACAATTTATCCTGACTAGGTTTTTGCTGCTCACCTTGTCTATTTCTTATTATTTTCCTTTTTCCAGCTTGGTGAAAAGCCAGTCTCCTCTTTGTTTCTGTGGACTCAGTCATGACTCATGACTTCTTCCCAAGAGACTCCATCTCCTTTTTTCCTCTTTGTTTAAAGATGACTCCCAAACACCATCCTTAAGATGGATAATATTAGCAGCTCTAGCTAACTCTGGCCAATATTCTCAAAACTCTATTTTTATGGTCAGAGCAGTAGAGAAATTTCAGCTTTTTCCATTGTTCCTAGCTTGGTGAATATATCTACTCTATAGCAGAAAAAGCCCCCTTGTTCTATGGATCCAGCAATTTTCAGTGATACTGTTGTACAAACTCTTAATATGCTTATATACATATAAAATTCCCCAAATTATTACCTATTCCATTGACTTCCATTTAATTTGCGTATGTGCACATGTTGAAATATATAGCATCACTCCAGCTGGATTCCTGTGGGTTTAGGGCCATAAGTCAAAGGAATGCTGGTAGAATTTGACATGTAAAATTCAAATTGGTACGGTGACTTTTGCTGAGTTTTTCTTGCCCCCTCCTGGATGTCAGGTCGTTTAACAGTTTAATCACCAAACCACTTGTGTAAACAACTGTTTGTTACCTCTTTTATTTGCTGGTGAGCTGCTTTCCTGCAAACATCAGGCTTTGGATAGACAGCTTAAATTTATATAGCTTTGTCTGCATCCTTATCAAAGGCAAAGGATGAAGTTATTCTGAGCCTTGACTTTGCCACATCTATTTACTGAGTTCTGTAGCTTGTAAAGTTGTATAGCATTTACACATCCTTATTTAAGATTTGACTGTCTAAATTTTTAATATGACAAGCTGATAATAAGATTTTGCATCTTAAATTTTTGTAATTACCTGATGTCAAAGTTGTGCATATTCTCTACTCCAGCTGAAATAGCTTCTCTTTATTTAGTTGTCCTATTGGCTGAATTGCTCTCAGTTCATGCTTATATTTCCCAATTATTTGCTTTTAACTGAGGGTTTTCAGAGCTTTGGTTCTGTTGAATGTAAACTCAGTCACTGCAAGAAACCATGAAAAGAGAAACCTAATTGAAGGGGTTTTTAAAATGTGTTTTGGGCTACAAAATGCCCAAACAGAAATATATTTTAATCTATTGGGAAAATGTGTTTGCCAGACACAGCATTCCATGTTTCTTTTGCAAAGAAAGTAAAACAGGGATAGCTGTATAAACAAATACCAAAAAACATTTTGATGTGATCAGGCTTTGAGGAGTTGATAAGAAGATGCAATGATCTAGAACAGATTCAAAGGTACAAGGCTGAGCAGCCCTGCTAGTTTTTAGAGACTAAAACTGGAAAAGAAACAAGTGTAAGAAATGTAAATAATGTTTTTTGAATAAAGCAGAAAGAGCATAGTAGTCTGGGATTTTAAGAGGCATCGAAGTAGGATAGAAAGCAAGTTTTTAAGAAGTGTATCAGAAAGTATTACCCAACTGTGCCTTTCCCCAAAGAGGGATCAAATGCCAGAGTGAACAAGCAGCACTTTGGTTTCAATGTGCCGGTTAAGCAGCTTTTTCTTGGGGGTCTCTGGACCACAATTTAAAAAAGGATAATTGCTTTTACTCAAAATTGCAACTGCATGGTTTTCTGAGAGGACTAGGAATTCCCAGGAAGGGATTGTTACCTTGGTGGCTGTTTTTAACAAAAAATCAGCAGTCTCCCTTTAAAGAATAATGCAATTGCATTGTAACCTAGCCAGGCTTCAGAGGCAAGGGAAACCTGAAGTCATAAGACTTGATTGACAAGTTGATTTTGAACAGGATGCAGGCAGCTAGGAAACATTCATGGCTTTGGTGAAATGTAGAGACAGTTCCTAAACCACTGTGAAGTCATGATATTAACTCAGGAACAGTGGAAGCATTTCAGGGACAAGGAATGCTTGCTAACTGCTGACAGTCATTTTTCCTAATTGAAGCAATCCCCTGCAAAAGCAACCAATGCTGTCAGTCAAGAGAGCATGATGAAGCAATACTGAACAGTTTTCTTCCTTCCTCTGGTAAAAGCTATGCAGCTTGTTCTAGGGAAAACATCAGTCTGGGCAAATCTCCTTTGTTTTATGTCCATCACTGTGTAGAGGAATGGGAGCATGGTTTGTTATCTATGCTTTGCTTACATTCCTTATAGTTCACTGCTCAGGGGTTCTGAGCACATGTGTGAATCCCATTCATGGTGGAAGGAAGCAGATTTAGAAGCTGAGCTGCTGCCAACAGTTCTCATCCTTCTGACTGAAGTCCAGATGAACATGATAGAAGGTAAAAAGTGGAGGGACTTTCAACCTGCATGTTTGCTCTCTCATACAAAAGTAGAATAGGTGTTTCCACTCTGTTCCAACCCCACTGGAGGAAGAAACAGGGAATGTGAACTCCCTGCCATCCTGGGACCTGCAGGGGACTGGGGCACCTGTTAACTTGGCTGTGTTACTGTACAACAGCCAGGCAGAGCAGGATACCATGGCACTCCAAGATGCAGCAGTTAGAAATAATACTGGCAATTTCTTCTCTTGCTAAACTTCACTACAGTGG